GGAGGAGGGGGAGGAGGTGGAGGAGGATATTAAGGAAGCGAGGCGAGTCAAAGTTAGGCCAAGCCTGAGAAAAAAGACTGCGCGGGACGAGAAGCACGATAAGACTGAGGACGGAGCCGAGGGTAAATCGATTGCACGCAACGGCAACAAGGAAGTGCTTCAGAATGCAACCAAAGAGACGGTCCCCATGATCGCCGAGAACTCCAAAGGCATATCAAAGACAAAAGTCGATCAGGTGAAACGCGATTTATTTAGCGACGAGGAGACTAACGACCAGAGGACAACGCGGTCCCAAGCAGCGCGACGCTCCGTTGACCATCAGAGGACCGAGGACAGCCAGGACACCGGTCTATCGCTCGACGGCACCAAGGACAAACTTCCCGGGGTGCTCGAGTGCCTGCAGCTGATACCCACTAATAAAAACGAGCAGGACCCGCATGAGCACAGTGGCAAGAGCTCGAGCAGCGAGGGCCTGAGTAACAGCCAGACCAACGCACTGGACGTCTCCTTCGCGTACGATGAGTCAGTGCCAATTAAAAAGCGCAAGCGAAAATACAGTAATTCGGAGTTGGCCAGTGAGTACACTTTTCGCTATCCCGATGAGATTCACGTCCTTAGCGTCACGGCGTACGAAGAGATATTTAAGATTGCGCCGAAGACTAAGAAGAGGATCCCGAGCCCTAAGAAGTCACCTGCCAAAATCAAGAAAATTAAAATCGACGATAAGAACATCGAAAAGACGCTGCTGAGCTCTTCGTGTATCATTAATAGCTCGAGCGTTAAGAACATGCGGATACATTCTGACAATAAGAAGAAAAAGTCTTCAAAGAGAAAATCGACGCCAGTGAAGGAATGTAGACAGGTATATATTTCCTATGTGTACTTCTTTGACAAAATATTTTGTAAGAAAATTTTTAATCTAAATTATGTAAATTGCTGCTGTACATTTATTGCATTAGTGAGATAGCGAAGGCGGTAAAAATTATTGAAAATTGAGGAAATTATTGAAAAATTATTGAAAATTACTAAAAAATACATTTTAAGAGCCGTAAAGAGTGGGTCCGTAGTCGGTAATTAATGAAATTGATAATTTTAAATGGATTTATGACATTTGAACGGGAATTGTATTTTTCTAATGATTTTTCATGCTTATTCTCTCGATAATAAGGATTTTAATGTAGATTTTTAAGAAAAATTTCATAAGAGATTTTGCGTCACGATATAGAGATCATTTCAGACAATAATTTTGTTACAGATTGAAAAGAAGTCGAAGGCGGATCCTCAAGCACTTTTCAACAAAATAAAAATAGATGAATTTTTAAAATCCGTTCACGTCCCGGAATAATACGATGAACATCGTCGATTATAAGCTCCGTAGGAATTTGTAAATAGTTTTTTTTACTTGATGAACAGTTATTTATTAATAAAAATTATTTTTTATAGAAAAAAAAAAAAAAGAACAAAAACACACGTTATTTTACATAACTTAAAATTTAGATATAAGATCACTCTCCAAAGTCAGACCCGAAAAAATCAAGTTTGTAATAATAAATTTTTTTAAATAAAAACATTTATAATGACTGTGTAAGTAATTTTTATTTATTATTTTAATCTTTAATTATGAAAATAAGGTACAAGGGATGGTTTTCATAAATTACATATAATCATTTTACATTATATAAAATACACTTATAATGATTATACAATAATCAACACTTAGATTTTACATATTTATCCACTTCGTCAACAACTTTCATTAGTTCTCGCCAATTTTCTGTGTTCATACAGATTCCTATAAGCCAAATAATTATTACAATAATATCTTATATTATTCGAAAAATGAATAATAACACTTACTAATATAACACTCGTATTCTTACCTTTTTTAGAAGGCTTCATTTCACCATCCTTATCAAAATACATTTCTCTAATGTCAACAAACCATTTTCCTTTAAAGTAGCGAACGGTAATTTGTTTTTTTCCGCCTAAATCCCAAGAGCAATCATCGTTATTCGACTTTGTATCTTTTTTAACTTTTTTGTTAGATGATTTATCTACTTGATTTTTTTTTGCTCGCTTCTTGGACTTGGTTTCTTGTTCCGACTGAAATGAATAATTTTTTCATATTTCATTTTGATATGACACTAAATGACATGTTTCTTGTAAAATAAATGACAAATGCACTTGTAATTTGAAGATCGGAAAATTTTAGCTAATAATAAATTAGCATAATTAAAATATTTCATTCTTAATGAATCTTAAAATCTGTTTATCTTACATATTTAGTGATTAGTTTAACACTTAAGAATTTATAGCTCGGTCAATATTTAATTAATACCAACCGATATTCGTTTCTTAATCGGTTTCTTAAATAAAAAATTTATTTTTTTTTTTTTTTTATTTTTTTTATTTTTATTTACATTAATTACTAACAGATAAATCCAAAATTGATAATTTACCTCAGAGTTATCACTTTCAGAACTCTTCTCTTTCTTTTTCTCTTGTTTCTTTGACTTATTCTTTATTTTTGCTTCTTCCTATTATTAAATAATAACTTTACTTTTGCATTATTAGATAATAAATGTAAGTTTAAATCATTAATATACCTCTGAGCTTGCACTGCCACTTCCACTTTCACTGTCGGAAATCATTTCCTTGGACTTTGGCATTTTAAATCTATTAATTTTTTTACAGTCTACATAATAAATTTCAGAATAATTAATAAATTTTTACTGAAACATTATATGATGAAATAACTATATATATATCACAGACAATTATTATTAAATTCAATACAATAATGTTGAATTTAATATTTAAATATAAAAATATTATTTCACAAATAGTGTTTCAAACATAAATTACACAATTGTTAACTGTCTTTGTTTAAACATGTTCTAATAAGAACAGTTAAAATAAATTAAAAAATCTACATAAATCAAGCAAGTCAATCTTTACTTCATAATTTTAATTTTTCAGTTATGGTACTTCGCGTTTCAAAGCTTACAGAAAATAAAATAAAATACACAATTTTTTATTTTATACCGCTTTCGAGTGTATTTAAAAAACAAAAAACAAAAAAAAAACAAAAAAAAAACAAAAACAAAAGAACGCTGTAAATTTTAAATTTATTCTAAATTTAGAAACGATTTACTTGTTAGCAAATTAAAAATCATTCTTTTTGTTCTTTAGCAGGAAATGCAAGTAAATACCAAGAATAGAATTAGACAAAGATATCAACATACGGCATACTCTTAACCTTGCAATATCGTCCAAATTATCAAATTTAATAAGAGAATTTAATACTCTCGATAGGGTTAACAAATTAATGTCAATAATAAATAAAATAATGAAATTTATTAAGTTTTACAGTCCAATTTTATTACGAAAATACTTACTTGTTGCGATAGAAATATATTTCGGCGTCCGGCGTCCAACTAACAAGAAGTTCCGAAAACAAGAACAATGGTTAATTTTTTTCTACGGTCCCAAACTCTCAACTGCCAGATTTAATTTCTAGAATTTGAGAACTCGCGGAACTAGAATCTTGGAATGTAAATTGAAATGGTAAAATAAAATCGATTTAAATCTTTGATCGCGGCGTTGACGCTCGTCGCACTTTCATCGATAAGTCTTTTTATAAAGGCAACGAACCGTGGACCACTCACGAGCTCCATTCCCCCACTTTGCATTTCCTCAAATTGTCAAATTATGCTTTTTTTTCGCAACTACATTTTTGTACGTCGCAAGCTCGAGGAGCTTAATTATCGTCCGTCATTAATGGAGGTCCAAGGTGATCGATCGACTTGTGTGTGCGTGCGCGTGTGCGTGCGTCAGCGTGTGTGTCCGCTTCCTCCTCCCATCCCTCACCAAACAACCTCCTACTCCGCAAAGAATCTAGTCCAGCACGTGTAAATCGAGTAGTTGACCGTTAAAGCCTTTTTTCCCTCCATTTAACTCCAAGCTTACTCGCCTCGTCATTGTCATCGTCCTAATTATTATTATTCGTTTCAGCGAACAATTTGGCGATAATTGTTACCCAACGACGACAACGACGACAACGACGACAACGACGACAACATTAGCCACATCCACGTCCCAACTTGACGCAAAGCTTAACGCAAAGCTTAAGGCAAAGCTCAACGCGAGCGGCTTCGAAATCTCGTTGCTCCTACATTTTATTAATTCCACGTGAAACGCAGCTCCATAATCTTCGCAGTCTACATCATTCGATACGACGTGAAAATTACCGGGTTTGCGAGTTCAGTTCATTTGAAGCGCGTAGCGGGCTCAAATAACTTTAGGAGCTGTATGCGTAATTAAACTTCTAAAAGTATCGAGGCTCTTCATATCACATGATTCAGCATGATAAAGAGAGACTCGAATTATGAAACTTGATTTAGCGACGATTTAGCGACGATTAAATGGAAAAAAAAAATCCGGAATATCGACTCAGGAATCGATACAATCAGCTCAAAGATACCATCTGGATGCAGATCAGAGATGCAGTCTAATTTTTGTTGAATGCTCGCGTCACTACATTAAAATAAAAAGATGAGAGTTGAATGGTTGAATTTTAGTTTAAATGCCTGACACACAGTGTTATGCGTCAAAAAAAAAAAACAAAAACAAAAAACAAAAAAAAAAAAAGTAAAAACGAAAAAATGCGATGTAAAACAAAGGTTTTCATGTATTTAAAAAAAAAGTTGAGATAGTTTCGCTATGACTTGGTATAGTAAGCTCGAGTCTCTTATTTAATCAAACATGAATTTATTATTCCTATTACGTCAAAATCTTGATGTAGCAATTTCTATTCCCATTTAGTATAATGTAGCTACTCAGCAATGTGCCGCCCTCAATTATCCATACTCAATGGTTAATACTCGTAATAGTTAAAAAAAAAAAAAAAAAAAAAACAATTTTAAGACTCATCTCTACTATTTAAATCAAATTTTTAAATTGTATTCGTAGAGAAATAACGATTTCATATTAATAAATAATAAGTATTAATAATAGTAAGTGTTAATAATCTACGTGAAATAGAATGTGTAAATTGAAAATTTTAATCGAATTATCCGATTCTCTGGAATGACGATCGTAATTTAATTTGTTGCATTAAAAATCAAAGATTTAAATAAATTAATAAAATTTACTCATTTCATAGACATATATAATTGTCAAAAAATGGCTGTTTTTCATATTAAAATACACTGCGACATAGAATAATATTTCAATTATAAAGGCCTGGAATGAATAAAATTTTAAAAATCTTACATGTTTTAAACACACTTTGTCTATTACAATTATTTTTTAGTAAATCAGAAAAGTAAGATCAAACAAGAACAACGGTTTAAAAATTTTCATCTTTGCTCGCTCTTCTGTTACGGCCTTTTTTTTTTTTTTTTTTTTTTTTAGGTACATTGAATAATATCGTTAAAAATAGAATATTGATAGTCACAATAATTAAGCGATTCATTAATTTTTAATTGAATTAAAAATTTTGAAGAAGTAATTGTATTTCAAAAAAAGGGGGTACATATTATATAATTAAAAAATATCTTAGTAGTTAAATATTTTTAGAACAGAAAAAACTTAATTTCTTAAGCCGTGTAATTCAAGTCAACTGGATAATTGTGTAAAAAAGAATAAATGCTGAAATAGAAAGGAGGGGAAAGATTTAAGATAAACATTTTGTTTAATTATTGGCTATTGTTATATTATTTATGAGTAAAAAATCATTACAAATATATTACTTTTTATTAAATAATACAGAGGAACTATAAATTAACGTATTTTATACAATTATTTTATTTAATTGTATTGTAATTTATGTAGTAGCTGAATCTTATGAAAGTGAAAAAATTGAAAATTGAATTGTCGACATTCTTTAAAGATGCTATAAAATTATTTATAAACAAATTCATTAAATTTCGATATCCCATTTTCTTCTTATCTCTCTCTCTCTCTCTCTCTCTCTCTCTCTCTCTCTCTCTCTCTCTTGCACTAACTCAATCACTCACTCTTTCATTTGGCTTTCATCTTCTAATATTCAAAATTTTTTCTTACTATTAATCGCAATTACGTATTAAGTAATTCTTATTATTTTGAAGTGCAATGCCTGATCTAAACAATAAATTTAATCGAATTTCTGTGGCTAATTACTCGTTTGAACGAGAAATAAATTGACCTTTTTACCAAATAATTTTATCAATGATTATACAAAAAAAAAAAAAAAAAAAAAAAAAAAAAAAAAAAAAAAAAAAACAATCCGATAAAATTGTTAATTTTATATCATATTAAGATGAAGTTAAGATTATGGAGTTTATCCATTTAAAAATATGTATAAATGTATTACAGTTTAAAATGTGTGGCATATATGGATTATTTAATTTTTATTTCAAAATAACACCGGTAAAATTATGAAAATGAATATTGAATAAAATTTATCTAATGATACGTTTTTTAATTAAGAAATTAATTATTTTCGAACTACCGAGGTGTACATGGCAAGGTGTAATGGAAGTGGAATTATACTCAGGTATATATGGGTTTTTGGAATTTTTGAGGTTAGGATTAATTCTTTTCACTTACTTTTAAAATAATGGGACAAATTCTAATCTATTTTTTAATCTATAAAATAATGTTACATCTCAATTGGATGTTTGTGTCTCTAACTTACCTCTATTACTGATCTCTATTATTGTTGTTGTTATTATCATTATTATTATTATTATTATTATTGTTATTGTTATTATTATTACCTAAAATGCCAAATATTTAGACAGTACCAATGATGAGAAATTCGTGAATACGTAAAATGTCTTATAAATTAAATCTTCGCCGACTGGCTCAAGTAATTATATTAGGAATATTATTCGCTAGAGCAATAATTGGTAAATATATGTTTCGCTCGGCTAATCATATGTCACGGAGGTGGGATATATTGCTTGGTCACCTAGATCATCTTAAGAAGAAAAGAACAAAAAGTTTAAAAAATGTTATCGATATTAAATTGTTTAACAGTTTAAAACTCATCGTGAGGGGCGAATGACGGAAATCATATTTGCCTGTACACGCCGTGAGATCGTTGAAATGCGACAGCGCATCTTTCTAATTTTTGCCTCCCTCCAACTGATTTACTGATTCTCTTTCTCTCTCTTTCTCTCTCTCTCTCTCTCTCTCTCTCTCTTTCTCTTTCTCCCTCGCGTTCGCGCTCTCCCGCGGTCTCACTCTTTCTCTCTTTCTCTCTCTCTCTCTCTCTCCTTTAAACACACCTCACCAGCCGTTTTACATATGTAGCTCAAGATATTTTTCTCGCGATAAGAGATAATTTCTTGCACAAACGTAGATAGTCGGAAAAGAAAACTTTATACAGCAAGTCATCAAAAGCTTTTTTACTTACCAAAGTTCCAAAGGCATTAATACGCTTGTCACCTGTCCCCAAGTAATTATAAATTGTGGAAAAAGCGTAAAAGAGCCGTTGGAAGAAAAGTATACTTTGCTTAAGTGTGACGTGTATATATCGATATATATGTGTTGAGCACGCGTGCCATGCATTGCTAGTTGCGCGCGGACGTGTCTATGGGGCGAGCAGCGGTGCTGATAGTAGCAGCAGCAGGAGGCGCCAAAGCACCAGGAAGGAGCACAGGAGGGCAGCCGTGTCGTTGTCGTCATCGTCTTCAGGAACGGCGTTAGTTTTGCGTAAAAGAAAGCCTATACGTGGGTGCTAGATCGGGAGAGAGAAAGTGAGCCGCCGTCGCCGCCGCCGCTGCTGCTGCCGCCGCCGCCGCCGCCGCCGCCGCCGCCGCTGCCGCTGCCGCTGCTGTTGCTGTTGCTGCTGCTGCTGCCGTTAAAAAAATGTGCCGGACCCGGAGGAACTTACTCGGCATCCTGGCAGCCGTCTGCCTGCTGCTCAACGTTCACGCCGACGAACACGACCACATAGTAAGCGATGCCTTTAAATGCCTTTTAGCGTTTTCGTAATCCGAGCTCTTGGATATGTGATTAGGATGTACTGAACGTCAACAGAGTACTAGTGCACTAGTGCCATTCTCAATTTTGGTACATGAGCAAGTGTAAAGGAGAAAAAGAAACTTATCATAATTAATTTTTTATAATTCATGGGCACCTTCATTTTTAAGTAAAAAACGTGGCATTTGGCTATATAATGAGACATCTTGAGTTTATCATCTGTTCACATATGACGATCTGTAAGAGCCACATGCTATCCACTTTAGCCTCATTGACAGATTTATGATAATTGATTTTTAACAATAAAGTGTTTGTTGGATAAGGATATTTCGTTTATGCCTCGTTTGGATGATTAGGTTAGGAACCGAGCTTGGCTGGCCTACTGACTGCTTTTATGTTTTATGTTTTTCATTGCCACAGAGAATTGCCTTTAATATTGTATGAGTTGGTAGTGCCATTTTTAAAAGTATACTAATATTGTATTCTTTAAATAATATAAAACTTTAAGCTTTATTAAATCGTTAAGAGAACTTTTAATAATACTTTGGATTCATTTTTAATTTATTGATAATTGTATTTTCCTCATAACTTAGTTTTGTTTAAATTACATAAGATAGCCTTGTAATTTTACACCATGTAATTTTGAACGTTAATTGCTTGAAAGAAAAAAAAATCACATACATACAAATGTTTATAAAATATTGTATTTTATGGTATGACTATGGTAGAAGTAATTTTATTTGTTAATATTTATATCATTCCTAGATAATCAATGATATATCTTTAATAGAATATTTGAAAATTATTGATCAAATATTTATGATTTATTTTTAACAGTATTTCGATTCTTCAAACTATTATGCTTTATCATTGTGTCTCAAATTGTCAGATTTAGACTGCTCTAAGACAATTAAATAATATTTTAATAAAATCGATCGGTTTAAGTTTTATAAATTAATTGTCAACTCGACTTGTTTAATAAAATTTCAGTTTTAAAAAATATGTAAGATTTTGGTAAAGTATTTAACGTATATATTCTAGAGAAAAGTGAAGTTCATTTCAAACTAGAAAAGCGTAATAAAATTAATTGTAAATGCATATTCATTAGAAAAAAAATATATTATCTTAAATTCATTTTAGTATGAAAAAGGGGATGAAGTAGTACTGTGGATGAGCACCGTTGGTCCTTACCATAACAGACAAGAGACGTACTCATATTTCTCTTTACCATTCTGTAAAGGACCTAAAGAGGTTATCAGTCATTATCATGAGACACTTTCTGAAGCTTTACAGGGTATTGAACTTGAAATGAGTGGTTTAAATATTGAATTTGCAGGTATATAAATAAATATAATTACCTCATATAATTTATTAAAATATTTTCTACGCTCCTTTTCTTAATTGAAAATTATTTTCAGATCCTGTTAAAAAGCATGAATATTGTAGTGTTCATTTAAAAGAAGAAAGTTATAAAGCTTTTGTTTATGCAGTTAAAAATCAGTATTGGTATCAGATGTATATTGACAATTTGCCAATTTGGGGTTAGTATTTATTTATGATTATATACATAATAACAAGCAATTTCATGCAAACATGACTTATTCGTTATAATATTATCTATTTATAATATGTAATTCACGAATTTATGCACAAGCTTATGAAATATTAAACTTCACTTGCTGTATTTTCATTATACTTTATTATATATTATTTAAATATTTAAGGTCTGATTTAGAAAAATGTGTGAATTTAAACTATATACTTTCATATAAATTAAAAACTAACTTATATTAATCGCTAATAATTAATCAAAAAATTATATAATTGTAAAAGAAATGATAAGAAAGACTTTTGTTTCCGTTAAAGATTAAATTATACTTTCAGAAAATTTTTAATATATATATATATATATATATATATATATATATATAACAACCGTTTTGCAGGTGTTGTAGGTGAACCGGATGAAGTTGGCAATAGCAATGGAGAAGTTTCTTATTATATCTGGACACACAAGAAACTGGATATAGGGTATAATGGAAAGCAAATAGTTGATGTCAATTTGACTAGTGAGACAAAAGTGGAGCTTAAACCAGGAAGAACCATACCTTTCAGTTATGAAGTTAATTGGAAAAAAAGTAATACCAAATTTGAAGATAGATTTGATAAATATTTAGATCCTAATTTTTTTCAACACAGGGTAAATAAATTTATCTTGAAAAAAAAAAAAAATTGTATTTACCAATGTATTGTAAATATATCATTATACAAATGTTTTTTCTGTTTAGATTCACTGGTTTAGTATTTTCAACAGTTTCATGATGGTTATATTTCTCGTTGGGCTTGTTTCAATGATTTTAATGCGCACCTTGAGAAAAGACTACGCAAGATACAGCAAAGACGAAGAGATGGATGACATGGAGCGGGATTTGGGTGATGAATATGGATGGAAACAAGTTCATGGTGATGTTTTTCGCCCAGCAAATCATCCTATTCTTTTCTCTGCTCTTATCGGGGCTGGATCTCAGGTAGTTTTAATAATTTAAAAAATTCATTCAAGCCAAGATTTATATTTTGAGCAGATTTTCAGATCGCGTAGATAAATTTATATTCTATATCGTCATTTATAATCTATCAATTGAATATCATATTGTCTACGACTACAAAGAGCTGCTTTTAACTTCTGCAGGTAACCAGTGTAGTTTGCAGTGTAATTGTCTATGCGATAGTTGGAGAACTATACACGGAGCGAGCTTCTATGTTATCGACTGTAATTTTCTTCTACGCGATAACGTCGCCCATAAATGGTTACGCGGGAGGTGGACTTTATGCACGAATGGGTGGTCGAGTATGGATTAAGCAAATGCTGCTCAGTACTTTTATGATTCCAGCTTTGGTCTGTGGAACAGCTTTTTTTATCAACTTCATAGCAATATATTATCATGCCAGTCGAGCTATTCCGTTTGGATCGATGGTAAGTAGCTATTTATTATTCATGTAAATTATATTATAGAATTTTATTTTTATTTTATACACATCGTTTAATGTTTTTTGTATTTGAATAACATTGAAATACAGATACACGTATTGAAAATTTGGCATAAATCGATAAAATTATTATAACTGTATAATTCAATCGATATACCGAAATAATAATTATTGTCGTCATTTTTATGTGCAAAGTCTTTTATCAATCAAAGAAGGTAATTAAAAATATATAATGTTTAAAATAAAAAACTCTTACGTATTTAATTAAATCGTTAAAGGATGTATATTTGTAGTTTAACTTATAAAATCTAATGTCTTCTCACGTATTTATTATTTAAAAAATTGCATTAAAATCTTAGTAACAAAAGTACCGAGACGAGAATCTTATATTTTAGGGTAAAAAATATAAGATTAAATAATGCATTCAGAAATACTAATTGTTATCAAAAACTTTATAAGAAAATCTAAAAATATTTTTTAATATACGCTATCGAAAAGCTCAAATAACCGACAAAATAAATAAAGATAATACGACTAAATTTATATTACAAATCCATTTATCGAAATAATGTATAATTTGTAATTAAAACTAATCTTATAATATTCAAAAAATTTTCAATATTTATCATTACTAGTTCTCAATGCTGTTAATATGCAAAAAGTACAAAATTTTTCAATTTTATACAATTAATCATTCTTGCCTATCCTTATACTAACATGCATTTAATAAACTTGCATGTTATATATATATATATATATATATATTAATGAATTGGGCTTAAGAGGATTAAGCACTATGTATGTAACAGCAAATAGCGAAAAGATAAAGCGCAATACTCGTTTATTAATTATTGTTAAATATTATTTTAGTTTTAATTAATTAATGTTCGTACCAAGCGAGATTTAAAAATACAACTAATGTTATAAAGTATTACGTAGTTTCTTATACGATATTGTATATATAATATTGTAATTAGTAGGCAGATTATATATTATCGTAGTCACGTATGGCTTGCTATTTATCTTGTTTGATTTTCTAAAAAAATTTAATTTTTCTATACATTATTACATTAAAATTCACATATTAAAAGATTATATATTTCAAATAAAATACCATATGTGTAAATATAAATTTATCGTAAAAAAAAAAAGTCTTATCAATGACTATTTTTTTAATAAATATTTGGGTAATTATAAATATATTTTATGAATATTTTCTAGATAAACAAGCATGATATTAACAAAAATATGTCGAAAGATTTTAATTCTTTTTCTGTAAATTATAATAATTTATTTTCGTTTAAAAATATTGACGTACCGGAGAGCGCCAAGTATTTTTTTTGGAATATCAAATTAGAAATATCTGACTATCATAGACAGTTTTTCCAGTGATATTGATTTTTTCAATACTGTCGGAGCATTATAATTCAATTTATGAAATATATTATAAATATAATATTTTATGTTCAAATGTTTATTTGTATTTAATTTGTATTTAAGAGTCTAGCTAAGCAACATATACCTGTTAATTTATCTTACAAAATCACTTTGTTTTTACAAATTAATCATTTACCGCAGCCTTTCTCGTTAAGACGTATCATTAAAATAATATTACAGATTTTAAGTAAATGTTGCACTTTTCCGGAAAATATCGTTGTTTATTGTTGGATAATACAGCAGTCTTCATTACGAATAATATATGATACAATAATAATATTTTATAATATTTGACTTTTAATCAACTTGCACTAAACTTGTTTCAAATTAAATGTGACAATTTAATAAGTATTGTCACGTACGTAAAGTAGCGTGAATATTGGATTTTATACGACTATTAGAGTGCGAGGATGACACGATTAAAGAACTGTGTAATTTTTGGTAGCTTAGGCGAAAAAACTCCGTTATAAAATGATATGTTATGCTCCTTTTGATTTTGCTTGGTCAAGCGAAGACGTCTGTTTTTTTTCGACTTTATCTCTTAAAGATTTTGTTATCATTATACATACACAACGGACTTAACTTTTAAAAGAAAAAGAAAAAAAACAACAAAGAATAATAAGAATAATGAGCCCCGATTAATACAAATCAACGTAAAACTTTATATTGAATAACGAGGAAAATATAGAACTAACCATGTGGCCTTACTTCGCACTTACAAAAACACTGCAATATTGTTATAATTCATACGCACGTACGCACGCACGCACGCACATGCACACATATGATAAAACAGGATAATGGATCAATTGGATTTACAGGTTAAAAGAATGAAAAAAGACACGTTTCAATTATAAACTTATAAAGGAGTTTCAGAAATCGGGAGAATTTTATTAGAAAGTTTATGTAAGCAGCATAACCGATGCGAAGAAAATGGATTTGATCACTATGCCAAGTTGATGCGAAGTGGAAAAACTCGAGCTCTTCCACATAAAGTTCTCCATCGCAATAACATGCCCATCATGTTTGCAGGTTGCAGTCACGTGTATCTGCATATTCGTGATCCTGCCGCTTACGCTCGTGGGCACGATCCTGGGTCGGAACCTCGCCGGCACACCTGACGCCCCGTGCAGGGTTAACGCGGTGCCGCGGCCGATACCCGAGAAGAAGTGGTTCATGGAGCCGTTAGTTATAATAATGCTCGGCGGCATCTTGCCCTTTGGCTCCATCTTCATCGAGATGTACTTTATTTTCACGTCGTTCTGGGCATATAAGATCTACTACGTTTACGGTTTCATGTTACTGGTATTTATTATCCTGATGATCGTCACGGTTTGCGTCACCATTGTGTGCACTTACTTCCTTCTAAACGCGGAGGATTATAGATGGTTAGTATGAATCATCAAATCATTTTATCGAAATGTATATTTACGATTCATCGAGCAACTAAGTTTTCTTATATCCTGCATTTTTATTATTTACTACTCATATTTGAAACAAATATTGAGACTCTTTTATCATAAATAATTCGTTTCGATTCAATCACACATCGTAATGTAAAAATTCATAGATAAACAACCAAATAAAAAAACGTATTGAATTAATTTAAACGTAGAGGAAGATGTCATTAACTACTAACGTGTTTCTTCAACTAATTAAAGAGTACTTTTCATCTGGCCTTGTATATTTTACTTTTAATTGCGAGATAAAACCTATTGCAAGTGTACTAAACTTTTGCTTCATCTTTAATTCATTGCAGGCAGTGGACTAGTTTTTTAGCAGCAGGTTCGACAGCTAGTTATGTTTATCTTTATTCGTTCTACTATTTCTTCTTTAAGACTAAGTAAGTTAAATATTAAGTCTATTAGTAAATATATTAAAAATATTAAAAATATTAAAAATATTAAAAAATTTTAAAATATTAAAAATATGGATGTTATGAACTATGAGTGTTAAAATTTGTTATGAAATTTATTTGCAAAAAAAAAAAAAAAAAATTGATGAGCAAAAGATTAATGAGCAACTGAATGATGTTTACTGTTGATTTCATACTTTGGATTAGTTTTTTAAATTGCAACCAACCGATTATCCGGCATTTACTTCACCAATCTTCTTTAATACTTTCTCCGTATTGTTTATTTAAAGTAATAAATTTTAAGCACTTTATTCCTATTTTGTTAAATTAACATAATATACACCCGTAGACGATAAGCCCACGATTATTATATTCTCATAATTATAATAATATTGATATCATATTTGTTCTTCTTTTCTTTTTTTTTTCCAGAATGTATGGCCTTTTTCAAACCGCATTTTATTTCGGTTATATGGCACTCTTCAGCTTGGCATTGGGTATTATGTGTGGCACCGTTGGATACATCGGGACAAATGTCTTTGTACGCAAGATGTACTCAACTGTAAAGATAGATTAAAAAAAAGTATTCGATGATTCGACCGACAGCTTCGTTATTATGAACGTCATAACGAATGGCGCCATCAAATGATATTAAGTTAGCTGTTCAATATAGGGCTCGTTGTCACGTTCTTAATTCGCTTTTTATTTCACTTTTATTTAGTTATCATTATTATCACTACTACTAATGCTACTACTACTAATGCTACTACTGCTACTACTACTACTACTACTGCTACTGCTACTGCTACTGCTACTGCTACTGCTACTACCACCACCACTACTACTACTATTATTATTTAATTATACACACAACGCAACGTGCGCGCGCGCGTGTGTGTGCGTGTGTATGCAAGCGCGTAGGCGTGTATGTATGTAGGTATATATTTTTAATGAACTAGCGATGAAACATTTTCCAAAGTGTTTCGAAGCATCCTGAGAAAAACGCTAGTCAAACTAAAACATATAGTTAATGACGATTTGTAGTCTTTTAATCCTACAGCTTCCAATTATAAATGAGGCAATAAAAAGTATTATAGCGTGAAAAATGAGTCCTATTGCGAATGTCGGTAAGGTGCTGCAGTTTTTTTTTTCATTTTTTTTTCTTTCATTTTTTAATTTTTAACGGAAAACTTTCACGAGTCATGGAAGAGTTTGTATATATCCCTCGGTGACTGATAGCTTGGCACACAAAGAGTTGCCGAAAGTTTATCAAAGTGTCAAGAAAATGAAGAATATCCGTTTGGAGGTTTATAAAAAACAAAATAAAAGTGCATGGATGATCGTATTTATGCGTGGTGGTGTGAAAACGTGATAAGCGCTGTAATAAATTTTATTATACTATAAAGTCCGGAAGCCCTGTTTGTCATTATAATTAATTATCTTCGATACACATTGTTTCTTGATAACAGTCATATCTTTATATTGGTCTTACAGTTACTACTTAGAACTTGCACTAATTTAGTATCTATTCGTGTACAATTTTTTTGTTTTTGACTTTGTCCAAACTTTTAATGAGTATAAGAATTGTTAAACTATTTTATTGTAAGATCGATATAAATATGCAATAAAACAGAATTAGAATATTTTTACGACAAAGAGAAAGTATGAGCTTTTCTTAATTGACAAGGTTCAACTTGAATGGACTGAAAACAAAATTAACCGTGTAAATCTTATGACATAGGCCAGGAAAGATTATTTTCTTAAACTGTATATGTATATGGATTATGTTTTGCTTAATATTAGTCAAATTTCCGCATAATTTTGAGAAAATTCTTGATAAATTTTTGTTTAAAACATTCATTTCCCTTTTTATCATTAACGTATGATAAACAGTGAGTTAAAAATTCTTTATTATAGCGTTAATATTAAAAATTACAACCTATTGTATAATTCTTTTTATAAAAGAATAAATTTAAAGAGATCTTTAAAAAGAAAAATTTGTAAAAGTAATTTCCGACAAATACATTTAATCGTAATCTTGTCATATTAGTATTAAACTATATATATTAAACAAAAGGAATTCAAAATTTGATAATGCCGAGTATTGGTTAAAAATTTAGAGGAAAAAAATGTTTAATTTATGATAAGGAATTTTGGAAAAGGAAAACAAAAGCGTTTGTGTGACGCGTTTATAATAATTGTGAAAAAACTTTATTTTGATAGAAAAAGTTGCGCTTAGGTATATACATTAATGTCCCGTAATTGGGTCGGTTTTTGTCAATAATTTTTGTATGATCGTTAAAATGATAATAGATATCAAATAATATATAAGCTGTGCGATAAAAGATTTTAACACGAACAAGACTTGTAAAACTCCATAAGTTTATTAGTCTTGTAAATTTCCTTGTAAAGTTACTTAACAATTGGAATGATTAATTAACCGATTTATTATCGAACATCTCATTGCGAATATGATAAAGCCATATATATATATATATATATATATATATATATATATATAAAAAAAAAAAAAAAAATATCTGGTGTTATCGGTTGTCCGTGTGTATTCGATTTATTTTCAACTTTTGAGAAAACGTAAACATGGATTTGTATTTTATGAAAACAACAGTATAGATAAGTTATTAATTATTTAACAAAAAGCCATCTGTTATTAGAATTAGAATGAACGAGATAATATTTCTATTTATGAAATACCACAAAAATTTGAAAAAATATAAATAATTTATTTGATTATAAGTGAATAAACAAATTTTTAAAAAAAAAAGTCAATCACTTTTTTTCAAATCTGTAAATACGTATATGCGCATACGTGTGCCTGCTTATAGCATACAACAGGCAAATATATGTATACATATGCAGTAAAATTAGTTTATTTCAGTTAATGTTATTATTTTGATGATTAAGAAAATGTTGCTATATAATTGTGACTTGGACAAAAGTTCGTTTGATTCTATCATATTTTATAAAAACAAATAAAAATTATATTTAATAAATAATATTATTTATTACATAATTTGACCTCAAACTATATATATATATATATATATATATTCATACATTAAAATTTAATTATTTTGTATTTATATTTTGTCTCACAAAATATGAATTTTCCTTATCATTTTGTTTTCTTTTTGGAGATCTTATGCATTAGGTGAGATAATTTAACACACAATACAATGAGATAATCGCAGCCAATTTTTTCAATATACATAATAGTACAGCGAATATAGATAATTTACATACATACATATGTACGTATGTCTTACGTTAATTCAGCATTAAAAATTTCAATAAGATTATCATAAAGATAAATTTTCAATTGCATTTGATGCGTATAGAGAAAAAACAATCAGTCGTTAAAATTAAATGTAATGTCGAATATTTATTGCACAGTGAGAATACGAGTATGTAGATAGGCAATTATAAATTTTCTTTCTATTTAATAATAAGGTCATTATAATTTACCGAAATTCCAGTCCCATTACATTTTCATTTCAGAAAATAAGCGTTCAGTGTTTCAACCGAAATCGATACACGATTTTTCATTATTAAGGAAATATCAGTTCTTACTTTTGAATATACATGCGCACATTTCACGCAGGCCCATACATTTTTACAATGAAGAAATATTTTGGCGGAGGTTTGTAATGAAAATTTTAATATCTATAAAATAATTATAAGACACAGTCGGACATTATTAATTTAGGCATATTACGCCATCATTATGCATCAATAATCTTTATATTAAAATATTTTAGAATGTTAGTTTAATGCGACAGTACTGGGCATAGCCGAAACAATTAGATGATTAAATCATTATATTAAATATATTAAAATATTTATTGTAAATTTTATGCGCTTACGTGGGTGTGCGCGTGCCCGTGCGCTTAATTACATGGTAAATGCTTTATTTTATTTTTTTTTTTTAATTTTATAATAAATGTATCGTAGGTCTTAAATAATAAGTTTTGTAATTATTTTTAGCGTCCCCGGTCACTCGAACGTTCCATCCCCCCCCCCTCTCGTGGAAGCAATTTATTGAAACTTTTCAATTAATTAAAGTGAGCGTTAGCAAAGAGGAGAGCGAAATGTTTGCCTAAACACACATGTCGTGACATTAGCAGTTATAATTTTAATATTCAATTGACTTTGATGTAAGAACTTCAATACGTGTGATAAACCGAGGTAATACGACAATACAGGCTGGTACGTTTGCCTTGGCGTATGAAAAATTATTTTCTCGATTTACAGATGCATTTGCCGTTAGAAAACGTTAAAAAAACGAACATTAATCCGCTCAATAAGTCTTCGTAAATCTTAGTGATATTCTTTCTAAAATCATAAAATCATAAAATCATAAATAAATAAATAAAGAAAGAAAGAAAGAAAGATAGAATGAAAGAATGAAAGAAAGAAAGAAATAAAGAAAGAAAGAAAGAAAGAAAGAAAGAAAGAAAGAAAGGAAAAATACTTGTGATTGTAGGTAAATGTTATACGTCTATTATGAGATTTTCTCTTCTCTTTCATTATTACCACCGCATTAGGAATGTTAATAGTTGTACTTGGATAGCTAAATATACGTCTCGTTGGTCGTCGAGTTCACTCGAATGGGTACGAGAGAGTTCGCATCCGAACTCTTCTCGAGCGCCTGAAAATTCCAAAATAAAACGAAGGCACAAGAAGAGTCGTGTTAGCGGCCAGAGTGTTGGTGGCGAGGCGGTGAGGGAGACGAAGGGAACGTGTAGCCACGACTGGCATTACTCGTAAACGGACCGTCCCTGACTGTCACGTAACCCATCAAGCCGAAGCATCTCACGATCGTGTGCGTGCGAGAGATAGAGAGAGGGTGTCCGAGCGGTGATATCCGAGGCGACACGTCAACTACATATATCGTCGTCGAGAGTACCGTTCGAACATTCGACTTTGAGCCAATTAGCCGTGGGACACTTGGCGGTAGCCGACGTTCCACCAGCCCTTAGCAGCCTACGCTTATCACGACGACGTGGACCCGAGACCCTCCGGAATGGCACCCAAGCAGAGGATGCGCATCGCCAACGAGAAGGCGACCAAGTTCATCACCCAGCGCGGCAATGTGCCCAAATCCACGGTAAGGAGTTGGGAAAGAGCGACAGTGGACGCGATAGGAGACACTTGGCAGCTGTCAGTGCGCACTAGATCAAAGTGGGCGATTACCCGGGTTTCCTGCGCGGCCTGCACTCTCCTGGGCGAGATCGAGCGAATTGGCAGGGCCTCCCCGGCGTAATTATAACGCGTTGGTATTTATGTTGACCCGGAGCCGCGAATTTGTGCACTATGTACCGAGGGACTTTGGAGGTTAGGGCTGCCGATCGATCCATCTGGAACGATGTTTCGTTTTTATGTCAAGTGGTTCCTCTCGTTTTTTCCACTGTTATTAGCGAGATATCATGTAAGACCCACGTCGGCATTGTAAGGGCTGACATTTTGCTGTTATTTTTGTAGAAATCGCAGGACGAGTCGTCACCAGTTGGCCCTTGGCTCTTGGCACTATTTATTTTTGTAGTCTGTGGTTCTGGTGAGTTAGCGGTTTCATATTATTATTTACATTGGTTTATGGTAGCTCGTTGGTTGGTGCTTTACCAAATAAAAATAGAAATAGTACTATTTATATAATCGAGGATAATGTCATAATGAACTGTTGCCATTCCATTTTGATAAACTGCATTTAACCATATGGAAAATAAAATTGTCAATATTATGAGAAAGTTCAATTTATTATGAATATGTTTTTGAGTTTATGCGGCATAAAGATCACGATTTTTACATTATTGATTGTTGCTCTTATTGTTGATTGGTAAAAGCTACATTAGTCGAACGATTTACAATTTAAAACACAATAAATTTTACTGACACTTATGACCGATACCCACAGTTAACAAATTTTTACGAGCATTAATGCATTAATTCCAATCTAAAGATGTATTTTATTTTAGTACAATGCGCGCTTATACCTTGTTAATAACTTGTCAAATTTAAAACTGTAAATATTGAATAATAAATTTTATAATTACTATAAAAATGCTGATACGGCCATTTATCAAATCCTTTGTTGCATTTTAATGCCTTTAATAGTTTCAATAAAATCAGATCGTTACATAATTAATCAGTAGTGCACATAATTAATCAAAATATTATATATATATATATATATATATATATATATATACATATCAAAATTTAATGTTATTATTATGTTTCAGCTGTTTTCCAAATAATTCAAAGTATCAGAATGGCATAACATGTTTGAATATCTGAGCCGCAGTTACATCTTAGTTATAATATCGTTCAAAAATCAATGCAAACGGGCAATTGATCAAGGTCATCCTTTCTAACGTCGACTGATTTTTCTACAGAGCTGCGGACTTTACTCATTATTAAATATGACCGGAATTAAGAAAGAATGAAGGAACGTTTACGAGGATGGGCGTTTGTGGCCTTAAATCCTCTGCTGCAATAATGATTGCTCTGGATCAGAGATTTCTATATATTTTTCTTTCATTAGCTCAAAGAATTAATTTATAAAAAAGAAAAGAATAAAAAAAAAAAATGACGCATTTATACGAGCATTTTTAGATAAAGGAAAATTGTTAGAATAAGATAACTAAGCGAATTTGAAATTAAAAATTGTAAAGAAACATTAGTCGTTCATTTGAAAAACAAAATTTTACTAAGTTCAGAATATAATAAGTATGCCTGTTTAATAGTGATTTATGTTTACAAACATCTCTCTAAGATTTACTCGTGTTAATTCATTTTTTATTATTTTGTTTACTGATATTTTGTCAAAAAAATCTTTCTCTTCCATTAACGCTTGTATAGGTTTCCAATTGTATATATAAATAATAATCTATTATAATGCCATGGTTTATTATTCCAATCATTCCATTATGCAAAACCTAAAATGCTATATATATTGTCATTATACTCCAATGATTTAAAATATTTATTATTTTCATCAATTACGAACGCATAAAGTGCATTGTCAACAAATGTCTAATTTGATCCTTAAACTTAGTTCGCATTGTACGTATAATATATTAATTACAAAATTACTATATATAATAAATTTAATAATTTCGTTTACATAAAGTTAAACTATTGAATATTGTAAGGACGGAATGATTATCGAATATATTGTGTAATAAATTGATTTTATTCTAATTAAATAATGTAATTGCATTTTTTATAAAAATCACTCCTACATTTATTCGTATCGATACATTTCATATGTTTTGCAAACTTGAGAATTTAAACGCTTATAGTAAGAACTATTTATACAAAACTTTTGTAAAAGAAATAATAGAATAATTGACGAATTTCATTTTTCATATGAATTCGTATATTTTCTATATCTTTATTACGTTTTTCTTTTTCTGTTATAATTTCTGTTATAATTTATACTTAAATACTAATTTTTTTCAACGAATAATAAAATTACATTCAAATAACTAAAAATTCGAAATTATAATTCTATTATTAATATTATATGATCATAATAATTGATGCGATTATTGCACTTTTAAATTTCTCTTCAAATTCCTTATCAACAACAATTGACAATTTGTGTTCATATTTTATATTTTACTACTATAATATTTATATTGATAGTAATTTCGATGATCAACCATTCGTTCGCGCGTTTTCTTAAAAATACTCAATTCTAATTGACATTTACTTTTAAATTCTCCAAATAAATCTTATTTACACATAAGATACTTTGATCATAAATATTTTAACGTATCTTCATATTCTAAGATATTCTTCTTATTACTAATTAAATACTATTTTTTTAAACGTTTAGATGATGAAAAAAGATGTTTGGTAATAAAGGATGAAGATTGTTGATAAAATAAAAGAATGACAAGTATTTTTCGTGACATTAATTTTATTCGAGTGCTGCTATAACTTTTTAACGCTCATTATAACAGTTCAATATAAGTAATAAAAATATGCCTCTGTTATTAAACTTTGCGCAATAAAGTATCTTTCGATTTCATTTTACGTGCAGATTTTCAAATAAAGTAAAAAGGAAAAAAAAAAAAGAAAAAAAAAGAGAAAAAATTAATATTAAAATAACTGCACGCACATGATAAAGAAGAAAACTGCACCATTGTATACTTTAGAATTAAGCTTTACTTTTCTCCTTCTGATTAATAATTTTTTTACATTTTTCACATCAAGTCAACCAT